ACAGCACCTGCTTTGTTGTTTAGATGATTAAGGCACCATTGAACGTATATATATATCTGACGTTTTCACTACATACCGGTAGTTGCAGCTATATGTATACACATGCTACAAATCTTCCTGGATAAAATGAGATAATGCAGTATCATAATAAACATCAGTACTGTATACAGGTCTTATTGAAAATCCAGTTTAGATAGTTAGATAGATCGCAAGTAATTATTATAATGATATAATAGAACACGGTGCAACTTCAAAACACGATACTGGGTATAGTTATAATGTCACTATATAATGTCACTAAGACGATTGCAATTGATGTGGGGTATGTGTGTGGAGAACAATAATGTACTCTGGAATGTTTCTCACACAAAAATAAAAATTATCAGGAAAGCGCGAGGGAAAACATTCTTGTAAATTAGCTATTTTAATACTCTTGATGAAAGCTGTACTAAATGTACATCTCACAAATAAATATGATAAAGGGACATCTGTGATCAATTGGTACTCAATGAATAATAATAAACAATAAATGAAATAGTTTGTGTCTGCTGTATACAACATACATCAAATCACAGCAGATATGGTATCATCAAAAAATAAAGCTGAGCATGTATTACACACCAAATCACAATCAGTTAATTCAGACAAATACTGAGAAGACCTTGGTAGAAATCAATTAGTCCGAGTGCAAAATGATATTGGATTATTCATGCCTGCTGCATTGTATTGAACATACAACGTCAACTCACTCACCAACCATTCAAAGCCAGTTGAATTTGAATTACCAGGTTAGGACAATAGTTTTGTTCTTCTGTATATATTATTACAGATATTTCAAAGTGTTGAAGTGCTACATTCGTATATTTATCTGGGAAGAAATGGTTGATGGGTTAGCTTCAAGAAGGTTTACATTATCCATAATGCTCCTATAATAAGAATGGTTTACCACTTCATAACATTCTGAACTGATCAGCAAATATGCATCTAAAATAATTATTATAAAAAAACGTTTAGGGGGAAATAAGCCTCCCAATGCTGCAAAATAAACCAAATTAAAATGCTTTTAATAATGCTGTTTATAACTCTTTCAATGGTGTTAACACTAGAAAACAGGTTGTTATTTATAGTGTGACAGATAATTTGTATAAACTCAAAAGTGAATAAGCTGCTGTGTAAATTCAATATTCAATATAAGAAATTCATAGCCTCAAAGTTGTTTAAAAGTTAATAACCAGATAACGTTTCATTGACTATGCCTTAAAAAGTGTAATGTATTTTATTGCAAAGCCCAATGAAACCACACTGTTATCATCCAGGAGATATTTACAGCTGAAATTAGAGTAGCTTTACAGCTCAATTATTTCAGGATCCAAAGGCGAGAGAAGATCAATTCCCACTGCAATGTTATAACTGTCATTGTGTCCAACATTTTCATAATGTGTAGCACTATCATCCAAACCATCACTTTCGTCACCATCCAGGTTATCATACTGTGAGGCCAACGTAGCAACACTTAGCCTTGTCTCATCAGGTTCAAAGTCATCAGAAGATTCATCAGAAGAATATTCTCTGGTCTCAACATGCAGGTGTTCTTCTTGTGGAAACTTTTTGGGACCTTCTTGACATTCAGCAGGATCAGTATCTGGCAGAGTAGCATTGTCATAGTATGATGGGTAACGGTTTTCAAGCAGAAGTTCCTGTTCACCATCACTAAATTGTGTATCTGCTTCCAGTGAGGATCCTTTATATTTTTCGTACATGGTGAAGTCATCATGATGAGTGCTCATTTTCGCAGCAACTGATTTCATTTTCTCAACTCTCTCAGCATAAGCAATGTTTGTGGGGCTGACATTCCTTTTGAGACTTGATTGTCTCTCACACTTTTTAACAGCGACTGGGCTGACTGGTATCTTTTTACGTGGTGAAACAGGAGGTTTATCCACCACTTTGTCACTTAATGGACTAATTGGGCTGACAGGACTAGAGGGAGTTCGTGTACTCAGTGAGCTTGAACTTGAACTTCCACCATTAGATTTGATTTCTAGCATGCTCGGAAACACATAAGATGCACTACTTGTTACAGCTGGGGAGACTGGTTCAATGATAGCACCTTGTGCATTCTCAAAAGTAAACACATTCCTGCTGATGCTCCCATGGGACAATTCAGATGGTGGACTAGGTGGAAGAGGGATTCTTAATTCAGGTGAGGGTGAGGTTAATGAAAGCTGGCTAGGAGAGTCTGGGAATATGGTTCTTAAATATTCTTCTGGCATATGAGGAACTGGTGGGGAAGTACTCTCCACCGGGCTTGTCACAGGCATGTTCTCTTTATTATGTGACTCTTGCTGTTCTTCATATTCTGTTTCAGGTGAAGGACTGGTGTCTGGCAGTGGTGAACTTTTCCCTTCCTCTGAGACATGACCAGATGTTTCTGATGATGATGTTGATGACTTCCGCACTACCTGAAAATCAACATCTTTATTGGATTTGGAAGACGGCACATTGAGTTGGGCATCAATTGGATGTAGAGTCTGCGAAAACATTACAGGGCTGTTGCCAGGCCGAGGACTTGGCGTTCCATTGCCACTGCCGGAAAAGACAGGGCTTAAAGATTCCTGTCTCAGATACTTTTCTCTGACACTATCAAACTCTGACATCATTACATCCAAGTTAAAAGGATTTTCAACTATGGTTGGTGTTGTCAACAAGTCTTCATCATTAAAATCAAAGTTATTATAATTCTTCTTTATCGTACTGTATGGTGTAATTTGGAAGTCCTCTTCCTTGGCTAGAGATACTTCCTCATCAATGTTCAATTCCAACTGTGCGCGATACCTCTCTTCTGGTGCAACAACAATTTTTTTCAAATGAGCTACAGAGGCATGTTTCTGCAGCTCTTCATCACTCATAGGTCGAGACTGTCTAATGGTTGGCATTTTGTGTTCCTTACTATTTGAATCAAAATCTGATTCTTGACTGTTTGTTTGCACAACAGATGGGACAATATTGTCCATTCTTTCCATTTCCAGAACAGAAAGTTCTGCCAACTCATCCCCAAGAAGAACAGCATGCCTGTTTCGGCTTTTGCTCCAACTGTCTGGACTATTTGAAGATTGTGATGAAACCGAAGATTGTGTACTGTATACTGGAGAGGTTTTCTTTGGCGATTTTACAGACCTTGGCAATGGAGGAAGATCAGTATATTGTTCACGTTCCTTTAATGGTGAAGTTAAACTTCTTCTAGTTACTCCAGCGCTAGATGTAACCAGGCAATCCTTAGTAGATGTTCTAACCATGGTTGGTGTATCAGAATGTCGAAACCTCTTCTCTCCATTCTGCCCTGAATCTTGAAGAATGAAATCCATATGGGATACAGATGGAGCAGTTTCAGAATTGGATCTCTGACGGTGTACACTGACACTCCTTCTGATAGGCCTAATGAATGACAGATCTGGAGGAGTCATGTCGCTTGTCATAGCAGCAACTGCACTTTCACCTTCAAAGAATGAATTATGAGAGGTTGACTTTGGCAGTGAACTATCAGACCCTCTCCTCTGTAAGACATCACCTTCTGAAACAAAGTAAAAGAAAACAATATAATGCATGTACACAATACAAAACACAGGTGACATTCATTTCATTGGCTAATACCAGGGCTACTCTTAAAAAATACAGATATTTCCTATATTACTCTTATTCGCTCTCTCATCATCCAAGTTCAAGCTCAGTAATACTGCAGAATTGCAGACACTTGTATTATGGCCAATTTTCTTCCCTGATTGTTTACAATCTCTTCCCAGCTACACAAAATGCATTTTGTATCACAGAACCTCTAAGATTTGAAAATCATATAATCAATAAATATTCTAGAAACTTTATTTGATACAATACAATTTATTTTTCATGAATAAAAACTTGAAATCATGTAAAGCCTGGACATTTTCTATATTGTCTGAATACAATACTTAAAGATCTAAAGTTTGAACTATTTTCTCTATTTTTACCAATGTTTCCTATGGCTATGATCAATATCTCAAAATTGTGCTCATTGACAAAAAAGATATAGTGTTTTAAAAGATGCTTTTTTTATGTCTAGAAGTATTAAAACAAACAGCCTATTGGCTGAGATAGCTCCGCTGTTAGCAATGCACATTTCAATTAAAGAACTGAAGACATCATTAGAAAATGAACAATATGTATAGTATCAAAGCAATTGAACTTTTGGTTTTTAACAAGAAGTCGAAAATATCACTTTTTACCAAAAATTACAAAAATATTCACCAAAATTAGAGAATTGAAGATATCATCACAAAATGAACAAATCTGAGAGAGGTCCACATGTAGTACCTATATATGTAATATCAAAGCAATCGAACTATTGGTTTTTTATAAGAAGTCGAAAATATCACGTTTT